AGGTTGGAGGGAGGGGGTAAAGGAGGTTTTGTGTGCGAGGGGCTTGGACTTCCAGCAGGCATACGTGAGCGTGTTTGATAGGAAGTGAATGGAGACAAATGGTTTTTAATACTTGACGTGCTGTTGGAGTGTGAGCAAAGTAACATTTATGAAGGGATTCAGGGAAACCGGCAGGCCGGACTTGAGTCCTGGAGATGGGAAGTACAGTGCCTGCACTCTGAAGGAGGGGTGTTAATGTTGCAGTTTAAAAACTGTAGTGTAACGCACCCTTCTGGCAAGACAGTGATGGAGTGAATGATGGTGAAAGTTTTTCTTTTTCGGGCCACCCTGCCTTGGTGGGAATCGGCCAGTGTGATAATAAAATAAAAAAAAAATGAATAAAATACTTCTGATATATTGTTACCTATTGATACTTTGTATCCTTGATATGTCCTTCTCATTCCATGCCCATATTTGGTTCTCAGAGATCAAGGTCAAATTGTGTGCAATATCAGTTACTATACGTATTTAGGAAAACAGTTAACTCGTTTAACAGCATTTTTCCATTTCTTATTGTTTCCCTTATTTCTTCATTTATTTTTGCTTTGCATTAGCATTTGTTATTTTTTAACACATCGGCCAATTCCCACCAAGGCAGGGTGGCCCGAAAAAGAAAAACTTTCATCATCATTCACTCCATCAATGTCTTGCCAGAGGGGTGTTTTACACTACAGTTATAAAACTGCAACATTAACACCCCTCCTTCAGAGTGCAGACACTGTACTTCCCACCTCCAGGACTCAAGTCCGGCCTGCAGGTTTCCCTGAATCCCTTCATCAATGTTACCTTGCTCACACTCCAACAGCACGTCAAGTATTAAAAACCATTTGTCTCCATTCAGTCCTATCAAATACACTCATGCATGTTTGCTGAAAGTTCAAGCCCCTCGCACACAAAACTTCTTTTACCCGCTCCCTCCAACCCTTCCGAGGCTGACCCCTACCCGCCTTCCCTCCACTACAGATTTATACACTCTCCAAGTCATTCTTTTGTTCCATTCTCTCTACAACCTCAACAGCCCTTCCTCAGCCCTCTGGATAATAGTTTTGGTAATCCCACACCTTCTAATTTCCAAACTATGAATTCTCTGCATTATATTCACACTACACATTGCTCTCAGACATGACATCTCCACTGCCACCAGCCTCCTCCTCGTTGCAACATTCATCACCCATGCTTCACACCCATACAAGTGTGTTGGTACAACTATACTCTCATACATTCCCCTCTTTGCTTTCATGGACAAAGTTCTTTGTCTCCAGACTCTTAACCCTTTGAGGGTTTTCGTCGTACTAGTACGTCTTACGCGTAGGGGTTTTTGACGTACTAGTACTCATAAATTCTAGCGACCTCAAATCTAGTGGGAGAAAGCTGGTAGGCCTTCATATGAAAGAATGGGTCTATGTGGTCAGTGTGCACAGTCTAAAAAAAATCCTGCAGCACACGGTGCATAATGAGAAAAAAAAAACTTTTTCCATTTTTTTTAATAAATCAGCGACTTTGCAGTGTATTTTCGTATAGTATTTATTGTTGTATTCTAGTTTTCTTGGTCTCATTTTATAGAATGGAAGACATATTACTGAAATTGAGATGATTTTGACTGGTTTTACAATGAAAGGTGCCTTGAAATTGAGCTCAAAGTAGCAGAAATGTTCGATTTTTACCAAACTTCAAAAGTAAACAAATCGTGCCAAGCGTGCAATACACGTCAACTGGTGAGTCTAATATTCTTTCACAAGTGCACCATAATATTTATACCATTTTTTTACACTAATGCAGTAGTCTGCATAACAGTAAATCTTATATTTTTTGTGAGAATAAAAATTCAAAGTGGAAAGCAAAAGAATATAAGAGGGGCCTTGAGACGTGACTAATGACTAGAGGAAATGTCATTTTAGTGCCAGGAATGTCTTTCTTGTTTATTCTGGACCCTATTCCGAAATTGGCATCTTTTGAAATTTGTGTGAAATTGGCAAAATTGCTAAATTCTGACCACTGTACTGGATAGTTGAATTTATAAATGGGTGGTTTCTTGCACCCATTCGATAGAAAAAATGGAGTTCTAGCGAAATATTCATGTTTTTTGTCGACTAGTACAGTGAAATTGGCGGAAAATGGGGCTCAAAGTGGGCAAAATCGCCGATCCGTAAACATCGCTGAGACCGCTAACTTTGCGAGAGCATAATTCCGTAAGTTTTCTATCAAATTTCAAACTTTTGGTGTCGTTATGATCGGAAAAAGATTCTCTATCTTTTCATAAGAGAAAATAATTTTTTTTTTTTTTAAATTTGGCCGACCCTGAGAACGAGTTTCGGAGAGGGCCTGTCGACCCTCAAAAGGTTAAGTGCACCACTCACCCTTTTCTCCTCATCAATTCTATGATTCATCATATCCTTCATAGACCCATCTGCTGACACGTCTACTCCTAAATACGTATCTGAATACATTCATCTCCTCCATACTCTCTCCCTCCAATCTGATATCCAATCTTTTGTCACCTAATCTTTTTATCCTCATAACCTTACTCTTTCCTATATTCACTTTTAATTTTCTTCTTTTACATACCCTACCAAATTCGTCCACCAACCTCTGCAACTTTTCAGAATCTCCCAAAAGCACAATGTCATCAGCAAAGAGCAACTGTGACAACTCCCACTGTGTTTGATTCTTTATCTTTTAAAAGATTAGCATTTATCCTTCCCAAATATTTATTTAAGTTTGGCATAAATACTTTTTTTAAAAATTGCAGTTTTTAATATGCTGCATGATACTACTATAAATATTTTGTATGATACATATCAGCATTCAATTTCAATTCAGTACATTAATATTACTCCATGGGGAAGTGGAAAAGAATCCTTACTCTGTAAGCCATGTGTGTCTTAAGAGGGGACTAAAATGCCAGGATCAAGGGGCTAGTAACCCCTTCTCCCACATAAATTACTAAATTTAAAAAGAAAAGCTTTTGTTTTTCTTTCTAGGTCACACTGCCTCGGTGGGAGATGGCCAGTTCATTGAAGACAAAGAAAAAATTAATATTACTACTATACATCCAGTCTATCATAGTACTTTTCAAAATGAAAGCACAGGCTTAGTAGCAAAACAGAAACAGGAATAAAATTAAGAATAGCAAATGGTGAAACAATGGAATATATGTAGAGTAGAAGGCCATAACATACAACAGAGCATGAGTAACTATGGCTAAAATTCCATAAACAGGTAAAAGAATCCTAAATACAGTATGTACTGTATTTCCATGGGAAAAGTTCAACCAGTCTACTAAAGCATTCACCAAAGCATCAATAATTTCAAGGAAAAGCCATATCACCTTAACAACTCTTTCATAAACTGGACATGGTAAATTGTTTTAGCAATAAAAATTATAGCACCATGAACTACTACTTAATCTATATTTGACTCATATCACAAGGCTGGTACAGTGCATAAGACAAGCTAAGCCCAGAGTTACATAAACTCTGAGCCAAGCCTGTGGTCTTCACGAGGCTTTGTTTATGATAGAGCAGCGTTCCTCACAGGCCCAGCATTATTGTAGAGATCATGAGAAAAAGATTCATGCTTTTTGCTCATCATCTCAATAAATATACAAGAAAAATGCTCTTGCCTTTGAAACCTGAATTTTTTGACCAGGTCAATAAGGCAATGATTCAGTGCAAGATAAATCCACTAAAACGTTGCATATGATTTACCTTTCAGGTATCCGAGTCTGAAGAGACTGAACACGTTCAGTCTGTTTTGACTTGGATACCTGTAAATATAATTTCCCTTTTATGTCGCTATCACACTAAAACAGAAATATTATTCCTCATCTAAGAAACCAAAGCATATATGAACCACATTTTGACTTTAAAAATCAGAATAAAGTAAACCCACAATTCAACGAACTAAGGGCAATGGATGGTTGGTAGTGATAATAATGGTGAGTACAGTTTATTATTCTGCCACAATCATAACACTAACCAACATACCTTGTCTTTTATTTCCAAATCAGTTGACTTGTTGAATTTTGCCCCATATTTTTCTTAAATCTGTTAAATCAAGGGTTTACTGTATGGCACATGTGGCAAAAATCAGCACCAATAAAAGTCAGTACTGCAAATCAAGAATGAAATAATAATTATAATAATACTGTACCGTACTTACAAATTAGTAACTTTAGAAAGGTATTATTCCAAAATATTGACCTGCCATCCACAAGAGATTACGGTACATTCTAAGAAAATATTTAAACTGTTAGTCAGACATCTCTATCACAAACTTTCCAGTAATGGTGGCTTTATATAGAAATTTTGATCCATAACAATAACAGTACAAAACAGACGCATGTACACAGTGGCTGCTCATATAATCATGGTAATTAAAGGGGCACCCTCAGAAATGATGAATATGAGAGGCACATGTGTTTGCCATCAAATGATAAGTAGGGGGAAGGAGTTGTCAAGTTATATATATACCTATTTATAAAAAGATTTTTTATACCATATTTCAGTACAGTACATCTGATTAAAAAAACAAAACCTTTGTGGAGGGTGTTTGGTTAAGTTGTTAATGCAATGATTATTTTCTTCAAAATGTTTGATACAGGAGTTCCTACAAAACTTAAGTACTGTGTGATAGGGTTTCTGGACAACATTAATCAGGTTGATTTAGGAGGGCAGGTGCATAGTGGACACAGCCAAGACACATGGGCTCCAGCAAGGAGGGATAGCAAACAGCTATCTTCCAATGGGCATAACTACTTTCCTATATGTCACGCAGAGTATAAAACTACGATGTGTTGCACTCAAATTCTGCACGCTGACAAATTTTCAAAATTTATAACAATATTAAGTTTTCCTGATTACTTTTTATTACACTTTTTGAATTACGTACGTAATAACAAAATTGTGCAAACCAAGGTTGCATAATATGATTGTTTAGTGTGTTTGGAACTACATCCTTACCTGTTATGGTCTGGTCCAATGGCACTATACTTATAGTCAGCCTTTATCTTGTTTGTCTGAAGAAACATGTGCAGACGGGATTTAGAATTTTCAATTGTCCAGTTACCATGAATATTTGCAGTAAGATCTACATCTTCAGCCTGGTAATAAAAATTATCTTCCTTAGTTTGTACATTAAAATCCATTGTGTAGATATGTACATATCCATGAACTCCAGTGAATATGTAAAGCATTTTATAGCACTGCTAATATGAACATCATGATAATGCAATTGTCAATGCAATAACCAGTTAAGTCCAATATTGCTTCAATCTATTAACAAGATTATTCGACAACTCTAATTTAAAAAAAATATCACTGCTTAGTTTCATACAATCATTTAAAACTGAAGAAAAAATGAAGTGTCAGTTTTCAGTGTTTCAGGCCACTCTTGAGATGTAAACACTTTTTTTTTTTTAACAAGTCAGCCGTCTCCCACCGAGGCAGGGTGACCCAAAAAAGAAAGAAAATCCCCAAAAAGAAAATACTTTCATCATTCAACACTTTCACCACACTCACACATGATCACTGTTTTTGCAGAGGTGCTCAGAACACAACAGCTTAGAAGCATATACCTATAAAGATACACAAACATATCCCTCCAAACTGTTAATATCCCAAACCCCTCCTTTAGAGTGCAGGCACTGTACTTTTAACAGTCTTTGTTACACACTCATGAAACAAGGAAGCCATTCCTCCCTGGAAGGTTGGTCTGCCAACCTACTACCTACTTTGTGTGATCAGACTACTCATACATAGTGCTCCTAAATCACAAAGTCACAAATTGTGGGCTAAGAACCCCTTCTTACTTATTGTTCAAAATGTCCTACAGACAACAGAATTTTTTAGGATAGCTTCAGACATATACTACAACAGAAAACTACAACTTGAAATGCATAAGTGGTCTACAGACCAGATTACCTATTTTCCAACTGGTTGCATGCTTTACACATATGACCCTAAAGGTTTCAATGAACAAAAACTATAAGTACAGTACTTGTGAAGAAAAAAAACTTTGCAGAATAAGTTAGGATCTTTATAATGTCAAAGTATAAAAAAAATACATGCTTATATTTATTCCTAGGAGTGAATGAAATAGTGAGGCGAGTGCAACCACTTTTTACTTCACTTACAGGAATATTTATAAGTATGCATTGTGTATCTTCTATATGACTTGACAAAGACTAACAGACTGAAATGCCCCAATAAAACTTTTTGTTCTGAAAGTGCATTTTTTTTATACTTTCATCAGCCAGAGCATTCCATTTAGTTCCATCTATACATACTACTTAACTATAAGGTCCATGTTTAAATCTAAAACTTACATCTTCTGTGGCTTTCCGCTCTTGTATGCGCTCCATGTAGGTCATCTGTCGACCTTCCCTCTGAATAGGATGGTAAACATTTCCTTCTTCTCTGAGACCTGGGACAGGAGCCATTGGGGCAGAAAGCTTGAACTCTCCTCCGCCTTCAGTGCGGGAAGCATCCTCCTCCCCACCACCAGAATCAGGCATCTGCAAAATATGTACGATAAACTAACTGCAGTATTTTTTATTAAAAAATAGAATGAGAGCATACTTGTAAAACTATGTAGGCTCTGTCTTTGAAGATCTCAGTCAAACATGAAAGGTTTTCAAACACCTAAATTCAAAATATCTTAACAGTTAATTAATAGATAAAACTCCATCCCTGCAACATCTTAACAAGTACACGTACAGTAGTTTAGTGCTAAAGAGGTTCACCCCAAAACACAGCACATTATTACAAAACTTTGATTTTAAAAAAAATTTTTGCAACTAAAAAATTCTCATGTACAGTACCCTCAAAATTTTATTTTGTTTGCTTGAGAGCCAACTCTTATGCTGAACTTCATGTATTTAGATTATGTGATCTAGCTGTATCATATCTACACCACTTACGTATGTTAGTAATGCAATTACAGAAATTTTTTCATATTCTCACATTTATTCATCCAACACTTGAATCAGGGACCCAAAGGTATAGATTAAATAACATCTTACCTGCAAATCTGGAATCTCATTTGCCTGTACATCTCCTTGGCGAACAAGGAACTGTATAAAATCTTTGGCAGCATTTGACTGAGAATCTTTTTTACTTGTTGAATTGCCAACACCAATGTAGTTATAGCCAGGGACTCGTACTTCACACAAGAATCGCTGCCGATGCTTTGGACCTGAAAAAATATGAAGAGTGGCAAGCCTTAAGGCAGGACCAGGATCTACAACTCAACCCCTGCAACCACAAACAGGTGAGCAAGAGCATGCATGCATGCACACGTAGGGTCAGAAGCTGTGACTTGACTCCTACACCACATATATGAGTATACATATGTATATTCATCTCCCCTCCCCCCACCATGGTATATTAAGTATGTATGTAACCTGCATCAATAACCCTCTGGAGTTACTAAATCAAATCAAGTAATCACCTAAGAATTCAGTCTACTACAGTATATTCCATACCTGAATTTCTAACTTCATAACTGGGAGTAACTTTCTTCTTTCCACAAAAGGCATAAAGCCATGATTTTGCATTTTCAGCCATCTTGACAGTCTGAAATTTAAAGGAAGAATATACAGATTTATAAAGAAAAAACTAACACGATACATTAAAAAAAAAATCTGCATACATGAGGTGTTATCAAGAGGTTCCTGGATTGCCGCAAAAAAATATGCACATATAGGCTTACCTATGTAATTTACACTACGTACGATAATTGGATAACTGTATTTATGCGTACCCGTACCTAAATATACTTACTTAACCTAGTTAAAGTTGTCTCCCTGGAAGTGCTCTCCTTGGGAGGCTCTGTCACTTCTCCATGATTATAATAATAACTGAGGAGCTCTAAATCCATAGGATTATACAGCACATGTGGGGGGAGGGGGCAGAAGGTATTCAAGCTCAATTCAGGGAACTGGAGCACAGATCCAATTTGCTAGATCAAAGAGCCCTTCACCAGCATCAAGGAACCTCCCTTGAGGGGTGTCACTTCACAAAACATTTCTGGAACTCTTCCTTTCTAACAGTGTCTAGCAGGGCATACAATTCTGCTTGAATCTCCTTCACATAATTAAAACACTGCCCCTCGACTGCCGTTTATATTTTCGGAAAAAAAAAAAAAAAGCCACAGGGGTGACATCTGGGAAGTAGGGAGGGTGGGGGGACAACAGCAATCTTATTCTTGGCCAGAAAATGACAACCTTTCTGGTCTTGAGTCAGCACATGGGGCACAAATTTTGCAGCCATTCACCTTTAAGTTTTCAGTCAAAATGCATTGACACGACTCAAATTCTCAAGGCACTTGTGAAAATACTTGTCTGATCCAAGGCACTTAGGTCTGATTCCAGGGAGGCTAAATCCTACTTCTTGGATAGAGTCTTTCACTGGCATCAAAGCACCTCTTTGAGGGGCATATTTAACTGGAGATTATTTAGCACTTAAATTATCACTGAACTCTCATGCAGGAATAAAGTAAGCACATTTAGGTACATGTACACATAAGTATATATATCATACATAGTAACATTTTTTTTTTTAACAAGTCTGCCGTCTCCCTACGAGGCAGGGTGACCCAAAAAGAAAGAAAATCCCCAAAAAGAAAATACTTTCATCATTCAACACTTTCACCTCACTCACACATACTCACTGCTTTTGCAGAGGTGCTCAGAATACAACAGTTTAGAAGTATATATATATATATAAAGATACACAATATATCCCTCCAAATATCCCAAACCCCTCCTTTAAAGTGCAGGCATTGTACTTCCCATTTCCAGTACTCAAGTCCGACTATATGAAAATAACCGGTTTCCCTGAATCCCTTCACTAAATATTACCCTGCTCACACTCCAACAGATCGTCAGGTCCCAAATACCATTCGTCTCCACAGTAACATATACAAATACAACAAATACAAATTGATTTACATTTTATAAAGTGCTGTTAAGTACATACAAAGAAAACCACTAACACAGCAGGACAGGATAACCCCCCCCCCCCCAAAAAAAAAAAAATAGTCGAAGTGACTTATTTCCATTGTGGCCCTTGTATAAATGTAAATTTTTGCCCCACATTAATGATTTCAACCCTAGGCTCAAAGTGCATGACTTTATGTGCCCTGATGTGGGTACCTTAAACCAATAAATAAAAAGTTATGGACCCCATGCCAAATTAAAAATTTACTGGGATGAGCTATTAAGTTTATTTAGCGACGGGTACACATAAGTACTGTACAATTATCGTAATGTAAATTACCTAGGATAACCCTAAAAAAAAAAAAATCAAAGTGACTTATTTCCATTAGGGTCCGTGCTGTATAGTCCTTGTGGCTTAGCGCTTCTTTTTGATTATAATAATAATAATCCATTAGGGTCCTTGTAATTTATTACTTAAACCTTAAAAGTTAAAACAGTTAATTAACTCAACTGTGTGAAAATCGGTTACAATAAAAGAAGATACAGCAAGAATAAGGTAAACCGAGTTATTTATATTTAATTCAGACACCAACGGAAATACGGTCACTAACGTTTTTGTTATCCTAAGTAATTTACATATATTACTATGTAAGATAATTTGTGTAAGTATTTATGTATACCTGTACGTAAATAAACTTACTTACACTAAAGGGAGACTTAGGGTCCATAATATTCAAAAAATGAGTGGACATTAATTTTCAAATAAAAAAAAAAAGAATGTCTTCTCCCAAAAATAACTTACTTCATCCTATTAAACATAATTTTCACATTATAGGCGACACACTACAAAGTCACATTGTTACGTCTAAGTTACACCAATAAAAAAATGTTATGAAATTTGTGCAAAATTAAAAATTCGGATCATATTAAGATCTGAGCGGCGACAAAAGACTGCTCTTTCGTGACTGTAAACCGGATAACCCAAACGCCCAACAAAAAAACTCAAAACACCATAGGGTGCTGGTCCTGTCCCTAGCTCTAATTGTTTCCACCAAAATCCATACTTGTCAAAATTTTTCAAACCAAAAGTGTAAACCAGTTATCACCAAAACTGGTCCACCAACACCATAAATAGGAGAACAGCAAACTGGTAAACACCGATATTATGTCAATCAACACCAAAACGGAAAACACCAAATTTTTGGTTTTCCTAGTAATCCCAAACTGCCCATGCCAAGACCAAATTGGTATCTTAGTAACCACGTAAAAACTTACCAACAAAATTTGGTCCAGCAATATTCAAAAATGGTGGCCAAACAAAAAAAAAAAATTGGCCCACCAAAAACAAACTTCCATCTAAAACCAATAACTTGGCGACACCAACAACACATTGTCCAAGCCATAAAAATGTGTAGCCAATTAATTGGCCAGTCAACAAAAATGGAGCAATACCAAAAGGTCTGAGCAGCACCAAACCTGCCACCGTAGACTGAACCGGCCCAGCCAACACCAAACTGGCCCAGCCAACACCAAACTGGCCCAGCCAACACCAAACTGGTCCAGCCAACACCAAACTGGCCCAGCCAACACCAAACTGGTCCAGCCAACACCAAACGGGCCCAGCAACACCAAACTGGTCCAGCCAACACCAAACTGGTCCAGCCAACACCAAACTGGTCCAGCCAACACCAAACTGGTCCAGTCAACACCAAACTGGTCCAGCCAACACCAAACTGGCCCAGCCAACACTAAACCGGCCCAGCCAACACCAAACTGGTCCAGCCAACACCAAACTGGTCCAGCCAACACCAAACTGGTCCAGCCAACACCAAACTGGTGCAGCCAACACAAAACTGGCCCAACCAACACCAAATTGGCCCAGCCAACACCAAACTGGTCCAGCCAACACCAAACTGGCCCAGCCAACACCAAACTGGTCCAGCCAACACCAAACTGGTCCAGCCAACACCAAACTGGTCCAGCCAACACCAAACTGGTCCAGCCAACACCAAACTGGTCCAGCTAACACCAAACTGGCCCAGCCAACACCAAACTGGCCCAGCCAACACCAAACTGGCCCAGCCAACACCAAACTGGCCCAGCCAACACCAAACTGGCCCAGCCAACACCAAACTGGTCAGTCAACACCAAACTGGTCCAGCCAAAAAACCCCAAACTGGTCAGCCAACACCAAACTGGTCAGCCAACACCAAACTGGTCCAAGCTAACACCAAACTGGCCCAGCCAACACCAAACTGGTCCAGCCAACAACCAAAACAAAGGCCCAGCCAACACCAAACTGGTCCAGCCAACACCAAACTGGCCCAGCCAACACCAAACTGGCCAGCCAACACCAAACTGGTCCAGCCAACACCAAACTGGTCCAGCCAACACCAAACTGGTCCAGGCAACACCAAACTAGTCCAACCAACACCAAATTGGCCCAGCCAACCCCAAACTGGTGCAGCCAACACCAAACTGTTCCAGCCAGCACCAAAGTGGTTCAACTAACACTAAACTGGTCCAGCCAGCACCAAACTGGTCCAAGGAACAATGATGCGGGTGAGATCTTGGATTTGTCAAACATACCTTTATCAAGTCACAAACAAATCTGTATGTGACTTGATAAAGCCCACTGTGTGGGCTTTATCAATAAAGGATCACATTATGCTGGTTCTGTGTTTATTTTTTCATTGTGTAGGTATTTTATACCATTTATTTCCATCTAGCCTAGACAGGATTTGCAACAATGGCTTTAAGCTGGAAAAATTCAGATTCAGGAAGGATATAAGAAAGCACTGGTTTGGTAATAGAGTTGTGGATGAGTGGAACAAAATCCTGAGTACCGTCATAGTAGCTAAGACGTTGTGTAGATTTAAAAATAGGTTAGATAAGTACATGAGTGGGTGTGAGTTGGACCTGACTAACTTGTGCTACTAGTTCAAATGCCATGCTCCTCATTAAGTGAATGTCACCTGACCTGACTAGGTTAGGGCGTTGGCTTAAGCCGGCAGAAGAATTGGACCTGCCTTGCATGGGCCAGTAGGCCTTCCGCAGTGTTCTTTATGTTTTTATGAGCACCAATCCGGTCCAGTGAACACCAAACTGGTCCAGCGAACACTAAACTATTCCAGCAAATATTAAACTAGTTCAGGGAACACCAAACAGGGCCAATAAAAACAAGACTGGTCCAGCAAATGCCAAACATAAGAACATAAGAAAGAAGGAGCACTGCAGCAGGCATACTGGCCCATGCTAGGCAGGTCCAAGTTACCCATTGGCCCAAGCTCCTGGTCAAGCAGTAACTGTCAATACTGGTCAAGCAGTAACTGGTAGTATTGGTTAAGTAGTAACTGTCAATGTTGGTCAAGCAATATCTGTCACTACTAGCCAAGCAGCAACTGTCAATACCAGTCAAGCAGTAACTGTCTGGTCCAACAAACACCAAACTGTTTCAGCAAACACCAAACTGTTCCAGCAAACACCCAGCTGTTCCATTGAACACCCACCTGTTCCAGTGAACACCCAACTGTTCCAGCGAACACCAACCTGTTCCAGCAAACATCAAACTGGTCCAGTTAACCCCCCTGTGGAAAATTGTATTTATCTGTATGTATAATTATGTACATAACAATAAATGAACATAGATAATTATTATCTATCAGTTAGACAAGTAGGAATTTGGGACACCTAGGTCGCAAAAATGTCCCCCTTCGATTCCTACCACTGTCATATCCGCAAGTTGCTCTGGACCTATTAATTAAATGAATTATACATCACCAGGAATTCTGGTAAATATATAAATTTGTGGACTGTATATTAAAAATGATTATATATAAATTCACATATACATAACAGAAGGAAAATATATCTTAATATCACTCACCAATTTGACTGGATATTAAGTTGTATCATACTCAGAAAAACCTCACTAACTAAATTTATGAAAACACTGGCCAGAATTATACACAAATCTAAAGAGCTTATCTGAGGTTCCTGGAGAGGTCTTGCCCAGTCGCCTGATATCTCAAGTTATGCAGGAATGCACATCCACCAATTTCGCCTCCTATTTGAGAGGTGTCAACACAATTTTAACCTCTAGAGCATGAAAAAATTTCTACCCATTACACCAACGTTCTAATACAAATTCAAAACCAAGATGGCGAGTGACCTGCCCAGCCACAGGTTTCCCATTTTCGATATAGGGCATCTATTTACCTATAAATTACCGTTTTTCCGGAAAATATATATATTTTCCACACCCCCAATTGGTCCAGGAAACCACAAACCGTTCCAGCAAACATCAAGAACCCCACTGGAAGGACCCCAAAGGAAATAAATCACTGACTTTTTTTGGGTTATCATAGGTTCTCTACACATGCTACTAGTATGATAATCTATGTAATCTACGTAAACTTACTACCTAGTTAGTCCAGGGAACCCCCAGTTGTTCCAGCGAACTTCCAACTAATCCAGTGAACACCAAACTAAACCAGCAAACACTAATCTGGTCCAACAAACCACCAACTGGTCCAGCAAACACCAAAAGAGTGAAATTCCAGTGGTTAAGTGAACATCTGCTAATTTAGCATACCCATTAAAAGCCAATCATCTCTCTTCACTAACATGCTTACACAAGAAGCAGCACTATTATATCTTAACTAATGTGTGTACTCACCTGTGGTTGCAGGGGTCGAATCATAGCTCCTGGCCCTGCTTCTTTGCTGGTCACTATTAAGTTCTCTCTCTTGGCTTCAAGAGCCTTATTGTACCTTATTGGAACTACTCAGGGTGAATATAAGGTCCAGCCTAGCTGGTTCATCCTCTCTCTGGTTGTACATTACACATGGGAAAGTGCTAAACCCATAGGATTATACAGTGGCTGTTGGGGGGGGGATGGAAGGTATTCAGGCTTAATTTAGGGAACTAGAGCACAGATCCAATCCCCTATTTATTATTAATCAAGGGGGAAGCGCTAAACCCGGAGGATTATACAGCGCCTGGGGGGGGGGGATGTGGAAGGTATTCAGGCTTAATTCGGGAAACTGGAGCACAGATCCAGTTCCCTAAATCAAGAGCCCCTCACCAACATCAAGGAACCTTCCTTGAGGGGTCTGGTTGTATAGTAAGACCTCACTTAACAGCATCAATAGGTTTTTGGTAACTGCAACTTTCATCAAAATGGTGTATAATGAAACCAATTTTGGTTACCATAGGCTAATTAATATAAACATCTGGGGTGTACAGTGCACTTTTAGCACTCATTGCAACAAAGTTAAATCATGGAAAAAATGTTAGCAAAGTGAAAATTGTAGGGAGCACCTCCCACCACCATGCAGTTCAAGAACAACAAACATGGCAGATGTGCTGGGCGTTTTCGCACTGCATCGTTTATTCTCGTGCATTTATGTGATTATCGTATATTTTATGAATTTTTATTTTACAGTAGTTTGCATTCATTTATTTTTCAACATGCTTATTCCAGTTCAGGGGAGGGGGGTGGCTGGAGCCTATCCTGGCAGCTCAGGGCTCAAGGCAGTAACCAACCCTGGACAGGACGCTATTCCATCACAGGGCTCATTCACATTCATTCATACTGGGACAGTTCAGACACACCAATTAGCCTAATGTGCACATCTTTGGGATGTGGGAGAAGACCCATGTAGACATGAGGAGAACATGCAAACTCCACACAGATAGTGGCCATGAACAGGAATCCATTTTTTATCATCGTTATAACAAATCAATGTTAAGTGAGGACTTAATGCATCCCTAACATGTTCATGCACGAGGTTTGCCACAACCCCCCTCCCCATTTTCTTAAAACTCCATTTGTTTCTGATAAACATTACAAATCCTGTTTCCCCTATCTTTCCACATAATCTGATAAGACATGATTTTCCTGGCTGGTTATCTCCATAAGCTTTGTTTCCGTGAGCTATAGTGTCTGGGGATGCTTCCGTTATTTACTCATGTCACTCCTTTCTCTGCATTGGTATACCATATTTTCAGAATCCTTTCCATTACCATGTTCTGGTTCATGGGCTCTTGGATTCCTGGTTCTTGCCCATGGGTCAGAGGTGGAAGGGGTTGGGAGTTTGGAAAGGGTGGTGGGATATTGTGAGGAAGGTATTTGTGCTGGGGAAAGTAGGAACTGTGGGTGTGGAGTATGGCCTGTTTTGGGTAATTGTGATTGTAGGAGGGGACCAGAGCTTGGGGAAAAGAATCTGTGGGTGGTTGTGCTTGGCAGTTCTCTGGAGGCTGAACTTCCATATCTGTCAATGCATGCCCTCTTTCTCTTTCTCTCTCCTTCCTGCCTCTGGCATCTTTGAATTCTTTCTCAAATATTCCTGCTCCTTTCTTTTACTGCCCCCAGTTGAGGTACACTCAGTGATATTTTTTGTGCCCCTTAACCTAACCCTGTAAAATCCTTGTGCAAATAAAAAAGAGCATGCATGTGAGAGGGAATCTGCTTTGGTGTCTGTTACCTTTTACTCAAGTGTTCCAGTAGTTCTTCATTGTATAAAGGTTGGGGACATTCAATAAATGTAAAACACAGTTCTTTACAATTATTTATTTTCAAACATTAATACATATTTGTGTAATACACAATGACAATAATTTCTTAACTATATTTTTAATTTTCTTATAAACTTAATTATTACTCAGTTTGTACTGTTTGTAAATACAGGAATATTAATTTTTAATTTACAGAATAAATCATAATCAGTAAAAATACTTGAAATTGCATATTGTTTTACTAGAAAATGTGGTAAAACATTTAATACTATAATGCTTAGCAAAATGAAGCTTCAATCTTTTCCAGTAATAACATAATACTAAAAATGTACCATATATAAGAACATACATCACTTTCAATAGCAAGGGGCTAGTAACCCCTTCTCCTGCATACATTACTAAATTTAAAAAGAGAGACTTTAGTTTTTCTTTTTAGGTCACTCTGCCTCGATGGGATATGGCTGGTTCATTGAAAAAAAATTTTGAAATCCATTCCAAGGTGACATTGAAATCTTAATTCTGTTTTAATAATATTCAGTTACTCTGAGCCAATCTCTTGTTTGGCACCACCATAATTTCCATGACTACCATTAAAATCTTCCCTAAAACTTCCACGGTCACTACCAAAACTGCCTCGAAAACTTTCACGGCTACTGCCAAAACCTCCTCGTTCTCCCCCAAAACTTTCACGACTACTACCAAAACCTTCGCGGCTACCAAAATTTCTACAGTTACTTCCAAAACTTCCATGTTCTCCTTCAAAACCTCCACAGTCACTTTTAAAGCCTCCTCCAAAATTTTTACAGTCCTTCTCAAAGTTTCCATAGCTACTGCCAAAGCCTCTATGGTCTCCCCTTAAACTTCCACAATCTCCCCTCAAACCTCCTAGGTTACTACTAAATCCTCCAAGCCTACTTCCATAATCTTCCCGGCTACTGCTCAAGCCTCCAAGACTACTGCTCAAACCTGTACGGTTACTGCTCAAACTTCCAAGATCTCCCCCAAAACCTCGGAGGCTACTGCCTGAATCACCAAGGATCCTGCCTGAACTGCCAAGGCTACTGCCTGAACCACCAAAACTACCACCTGAACTACCAAGGCTGCTGCTTGAAATGCCAAGACTACTGCCTGCACAACCAAAAGTACTACCTGAAGTACCAAGGCTGCTGCTTGAACCACCAAGACTACCTAAACCTCCACGGCCATTGCCAAAATTTCCAAGACTACTGCCAAACTTTTCCCCAAAGCTTCCATTGCTATCGCCAAACCCTCCTCGGCAACCACCATAACCACCAAATCCTCGGCTACCACCATAACCTTCACGGCCACCACCGAATCCTTGGTTATTACCATAATTTTCACGGGCCACACCAAATCCTCCTCGGTTACCACCATAACCTCCATGGTCGCCACTAAATCCTCCTAGGCTACTACTAGAACCTAAGCGGTCACCAAATCCTCTTAGGCTACTACTAGAACCTCCACGGTCACTAAGTCCTCCTAGGCTACTACTCAACCTCTACGGTCACCAAATCCTCCTAGGCTACTACTAGAACCTTCATGGTCACCAAATCCTCCTAGGCTACCACCATAACTTCCACGGTCACCGCCAAACCCTCCACGGTTGCCACCAAATCCTCCTCGGTTACCACCATAACCTCCACGGCCTCCACGACCATAGCCCCGACCACCTGCAAACCCACTGTTGTTACTGTAACCTCCTCTGAACCCTCCATTGCTATCTCCAAAACCACCTGTGGAGAGAAAAACATTATTACAAAAGTAAAACTAAATAACTATAAACAAATATTTCTCATTCATTATTTACGAATAAAATTTCAAGTAAGAAAATCAATATACGTATTATCAACACGTTCTCCATAACAATGTGGTAAATCAAATACAAATACAGGTCTCCCTCAACATTCACGTTTTCAACTTTCACGGGCTTCACATATTCGCGAATTCCCAACCGCCAAATTCCCAGCCGCCAAATCATATTTAAGTTTCCCGCCACCTGCGAGTCCCTAATACCCTCCCTCCGACCCCCGCAACTGGCAGCCAGCCCTCCCACCACTCAGTGTGGTGAGTGTTTTGTTTGTTCATTATTTGCTATTAAACTACAGTATAAATAATGTAAACCCATTCATGATTGCATATTGGAATGGCTATTTGGACAGGTATTAGACGGTGGCATCATGTGTTTACTCTTGAACACTGCAAAGAATTAAACATTTCTGCTACAGCTAATAATAACAATAGTAATAATAATAATAATAATAATAATAATAATAATAATAATAATAATAATAATAATAATAAAGGGTTGGAAAGAGGGGGTAAAGGAGGTTTTGTGGGCGAGGGGCTTGGACTTCCAGCAAGCGTGCATGAGCGTGTTAGATAGGAGTGAATGGAGACGAATGATACTTGGGACCTGACGATCTGTTGGAGTGTGAGCAGGGTAATATTTAGTGAAGGGATTCAGGGAAACCGGTTATTTTCTTATAGTCGGACTAGAGTCCTGGAAATGGGAAGTACAATGCCTGCACTTTAAAGGAGGGGTTTGGGATATTGGCAGTTTGGAGGGATATGTTGTGTATCTTTATACGTATATGCTTCTAAACTGTTGTATTCTGAGCACCTCTGCAAAAGCAGTGATAATGTGTGAGTGTGGTGAAAGTGTTGAATGATGATGAAAGTATTTTCTTTTTGGGGATTTTCTTTCTTTTTTGGGTCACCCTGCCTCGGTGGGAGACGACCAACTTGTTGGGGGAAAAAAAAAAAAAAAATAATAATAATAATAATAATAATAATAATAATAATAATAATAATAAATATGATATAACTGAAGAAGGAAATTGTACAAAAATACGAGGGAGTGGTTGACACATCGTCAGTGTGACTGTTTATGCTGGAGTAAACATTAGTCTCCCTGCTCTTCCAAACATTTCACAATAATTCATTGTGTTTGGTGCTTGTAGATTGAGTGTGACTGGAGTGGTAGAGGCAGTGATTGAGGCAATGGTATTTAATAACATACATGTTATTAATAATATGTACTATTATTATTTATAACATGTTATTAAATACATACATGTTAATAATAATACATGTTATGAAGGATGAGGTTAATCATAGAATTGATGAAGGAAAAAAGGTGAGTGGTGCGTTGAGGTATATGTGGAGTCAAAAAACGTTATCTATGGAGGCAAAGAAGGGAATGTATGAAAGTATAGTAGTACCAACACTCTTATATGGGTGTGAAGCTTGGGTGGTAAATGCAGCAGCGAGGAGACGGTTGGAGGCAGTGGAGATGTCCTGTTTAAGGGCAATGTGTGGTGTAAATATTATGCAGAAAATTCGGAGTGTGGAAATTAGGAGAAGGTGTGGAGTTAATAAAAGTATTAGTCAGAGGGCAGAAGAGGGGTTGTTGAGGTGGTTTGGTCATTTAGAGAGAATGGATCAAAGTAGAATGACATGGAAAGCATATAAATTTATAGGGGAAGGAAGGCGGGGTAGGGGTCGTCCTCGAAAGGGTTGGAGAGAGGGGGTAAAGGAGGTTTTGTGGGCAAGGGGCTTGGACTTCCAGCAAGTGTGCGTGAGCGTGTTAGATAGGAGTGAATGGAGACGAATGGTACTTGGGACCTGACGATCTGTTGGAGTGTGAGCAGGGTAATATTTAGTGAAGGGATTCAGGGAAACCGGTTATTTTCATATAGTCGGACTTGAGTCCTGGAAATGGGAAGTACAATGCCTGCACTTTAAAGGAGGGGTTTGGGATATTGGCAGTTTGGAGGGATATGTTGTGTATCTTTATATGTGTATGCTTCTAGACTGTTGTATTCTGAGCACCTCTGCAAAAACAGTGATAATGTGCGAGTGTGGTGAAAGTGTTGAATGATGATGAAAGTATTTTCTTTTTGGGGATTTTCTTTTTTGGGTCACCCTGCCTCGGTGGGAGACGACCGACTTGTTGAAAAAAAAAAAAAAAAAAAAAAAAAAATTAATAATAACAATAATAATAATAACAACTGGCAGCCAGCCCTCCCACCCGCCACTCACTCACTCAGTCAGTCAGTCTCCAGCCACTGTGCGAGTTGGTCATTGCTGTTTGTGTGGTGGTGAAAGTATGTCTCATGCCATGCAGTTACACTCCATATAATCATCTCCATTCAACTGTCAGTAACTGCATGTAATATCAATAGAGAAATAAAGAATTATAATTTAAATTTTTTTAATCCTCACAAGTCATCAGAGTTCGTCTGCCTTACGAGTGGTGAGTGTTTTGTTTGTTCATTATTTATTAAACTACAGTATAAATAATGTCAACTCATTCATGACTGCTAATAATAATAATAATAATAATAATAAATACGAGGGTTGAAGCAGTGGGTGGTAGACGCATCGTCAGTCAATATGGCTTTGTTTATGCTGGAGTGAGCATTATCCTCTGCGCTCTTCCAAACATTTCACAATAATTCATTGTGTTTGGTGCTTGTTGATTGACTGTGACTGCTACATAATTAACCATGGGCCCAAATAAATTTTGGTAAAGAAACCGAGAAGCACGAAAGAATTGAAGAAAGAAATTATATAAAAATACGAGGCAGTGGTGGAGGCAGTACAATATTTTACAATGTTCTCAGGTACGTATTTTATGATTGTTCATGAGAACATAAGAAAGGAGGAACACTGCAGTAGACCTGTTGGCCCATACTATTCAGGTCCTTCACAAATCCAGCCCAATAACAGAATAAATGCTACCCAAGCAATAAGCTTTGAACATTCTATTTACTCGCATGCAATACCCATTCAAATCCAACCACCTCTCACTTGTGTATTTATCCAACCTAAACGTGAAGCTACCCAAGGTTTTAGCTTTGATAGGACCTTGGGTAGCTTTAAAAAGAGATTGGACAAATATATGAGTGGGAGGAGCATGTATGTATATATATGTATATACATAGATTATTTCATTTTATTATTTTATTATATTTCCCTGCAATATATTGGGGCACCAAACATTCGCGATTTTTCAACATTCACGGGGCTCTTGATCCCCTAACCCCCGCGAATGTTGAGGGAGACCTGTAAATGCAACAGGTCTTTTAAACACACTTCAGGTGAATCAAATCAATAACTCTAAATGTTCAAATTTCAAATGACAATCAAACTTTTTTCTGAGATGCTCTATTGCCCACAATCTGAAAGCATTTTCCTGACAGTAGCACATGTAAACTCCCTGTCATAACTCTTACCCCTCCAGTTTCCTTATGTTATTTTATACACTGTATTCACTACCGTATATTAGCAGCCATAAGATAGTTTTTTAATAAATATGCCTAGGGTAATACTCACTATTTTATTAGTGCAAAACTCAGATAATTATGAAAAGGTTATAAAAAAAATTGTGTTTTGTTATTGTTGGACTGAAGGGTTAGTATAGTCTCTGGCTCAGTTTGAGGTTAAGTGGCACAGAGGCCAACAAACATAGCAGGCAGTGATGTTTGCCTGAATATTTTTTATTATTTTGATATGAATTACACGGTAGTGAATCTCATAGTTATAACTCAGCTGCTCTCAGAGCCTCGTGGATCCTGCAACTCCTTCAACCCAGCAACAACAACACAGAAGTGATTCACCAAGCAAGTGTTGATATTTGGTTGAATTATTTTGTCATTATTTTGATAATTTTTTCACATTTTTTGGGCAGTGTGCACTCATAATATGGGGAAAAAAGATTTCTCTGGGCTTAGACAATGATTTAGTAACAAAATAAAATAAAAAGACTCATGGCTGAGAATAAACAGTACTGTAATGACAAAATATACCCTGATCTGTACCTGAGGTTATGCAAAAATCTGATTAGAGTGAAAGTATTAACTCTCCACTCTCTATCTTTTGGCCCAAGTCAACTTATGGCTAGTAATATACATTATAACTAACACTATAACTAGTACTATATGCTTGTCACTAGTTGGTAACAACCGAGGCATTATAATGAATGTAGAAATGCCATTCAAAAGAGCATCAAAAGAATAAAGACCTTTTAGTACTGCAAGAACATGTATAAACTTCAAATCTAATCACATAACTAAATGGCAATAATATATTTTTCAATGAATTTGACTGTTTCATTCCTATATTACTCAAGTCTAACTTCACTAAAGCTATGGTGTACAGTATACACAACCATAATATACCTGGACCATCATCTGTCCTCATTCTCTTTATTTGTGGTCCACCAAACTGACGTGGTGGTCTAGGTGTGTTAAAATCTCCCGTGGCAATTCGTTCCAAATTATGGCGGCCTGCATTCATTCGGCACAACTGACGAATGCAGTTCATGACCTGAAAAATAATCACAAAAGTTATCTCTGCATGCTTCTGGTAAGAAAGTTATTAACAGCAGCCAAAGGGATTCCATGTTTGTCCCCTCTGCATTTATAGCTTTTCTGGTGACTAGCAGTGTGGAATAATTTATACCTTTCATGTATCGTTCAGCAGACATATCCTTGTTTTCAGACTGAACCAGTCTCTTATGAAAATAACACCTATTTCCTCCATGTTTATCTAGACTTAGCCCATCTACTTTATTTCTAGCACTCTAGCTATTTGTAGAGCAGATGCTAAGGAAGTTATTGCCCTACTTCTCTCCATAGTTTCTTTGTAGATCAGTAGTGCATTTTATGAGCAATCATGTTTTCTGAGCATTTTCCTGAAATACCCTGGCTATTTTAAATAATAATAAGCATAAGACTAGATGAAATTAAACATTATACAGTGGTCCCCCGCATAACGATCACCTCCGAATGCGACCAATTATGTAAGTGTATTTATGCAAGTGCGTTTGTACGTGTATGTTTGGGGGTCTGAAATGGACTAATGTACTTCACAATATTCCTTATGGGAACAAATTCGGTCAGTACTGGCACCTGAACATACTTCTGGAGTGAAAAAATATCGTTAACCGGGGGTCCACTGTATTATTATTATATAAATAATTTGTTATTTTTATTCACACAAAAAAATGTAAGATTTACTGTTATTCCTTATTGCAATAATTGTATAAATAATGTCAACCCATTCACAACTGCATACTGGAATGGACAGCGACATCATTTGTTTACTCTGAAACAGCCAAGCATGGACCATTTCTCTTAGGTTGAGCTCTATTTCAAGGTACTTTTTGTCATGAAAGCAATCAAAATCATATCTATTTCTGTAATATATCTTCCATTCTATCAAATGAGACCAAAAAAACGAGAATACAACCATAAAAATGATTCGAAATTACCGCTAAGGGGTGGCTAATTCTGAGTAGTGAACTCCATTATTTATGCTTAGATTTCTTTGATTTTTGGTGTATGTTAAGAAGATCTTTCCATCATACATTGCCCAAATTTCAGTAAGACAGTCCAACAAATAAATGAGATACAATTCCCGAGATCAAGAGCAAGAGCCCCTCACCAGTGTCGAGGAACCTGCCTTGACGTCTTCTCGCTTGTGAAAATTTTGCTCGCGTATGGAAGCAAAAAATCGACTGCTCGTAGTTGGAAAAACTCGCACGTGGACACGCTCGCAAGTAGAGGTTCCACTGTATATATACAAGTAGACACCATACGTTTTTGATAAAATTGGCCACAGAGCCTCGACTTGTATTTTAGTATACAACTTATGTTATACTGTAATAATTTCTACCTGAAACATTAAAAACAATTAGTTTAACAAATCTGGGGATGTCCAAAACTTAACCCTATTCTTCCCTTACATTCTTCACTTTATTCAATGCTATTTTATGTTACAAGAATATTTTCAGGAATGGAGCCTGCATTTAGTAATACAGTATACTGTACAGTGGACCCCCGGTTCCCGATGCTATCGGTATCTGATAAATCCGGTAGCCGATGCATTTGATCGAAAAAAATTTGCCTCGCTTCCCGATACAAAACCCAGAATGCGATACGATTCGTACGAGACGTGTCCAGTGTTTACAAGCCAGCCAGTGTGCGCGCATCTAAGGATACATTCGGTACATTCTATATTATCCATATTATCACTGTTTTTGGTGCTTGTTTCTGCAGAAATAAGTCACCATGGGCCCCAAGAAAGCTTCTAGTGCCAACCCTTCGAGACCAAGGGTGCTAATGACTATTGAAATAGAGAGAGATAATTGCAAAGTATGAAAGTGGAGTGCGTGTACTGGAGCTGGTCAGGTTGTATAGTAAACCCCAATCAACCATCTCTACTATAGTGAGCAGGAAAACAGCAATCAAGGAAGCTGTTCTTGCAAAAGAGGCAACTGTGATTACGAAACAGCGACCACAAGTGTTAGAAAATGTTGAGAGACTGTTATTGGTGTGGAGAAATGAAAAACAGATAGGAGGAGACAGCATCTCTCAAGCGATCATTTGTGAAAAGGCTAGGCAGTTGCATGATGATTTGGTAAAGAAATTGCCTGCAACTAGTGGCGATGTGAGTGAGTTTAAGGCCAGCAAAGGTTGGTTTGAAAGATTTAAGAATCGTAGTGGCATACATAGTGTGATTAGGCATGGTGAGGCTGCCAGTTCAGACCACAAAGCGGCTGAAAAATATGTGCATGAATTCAAGGAGTACATAGAGGCTGAAGGATTGAAACCTGAACAAGTGTTTAATTGTGACAAAACAGGCCTGTTTTGGAAGAAATTGCCAAGCAGGACCTACATTACTCAGGAGGAAAAGCTACCTCAAGTCCTAATGGAGGGGGATTCCCCTTCTAAACAATAGGTTCAACACACTCCCCTCCTCCCATCCCATCAATCATCACCAGATCTTCATTAAAGGTAAGTGTCAATTATTCTATTGTTATTGTAATTATTCTACTGCATTAAACTTAATATTTCATGTGGTAAAAGTTTTTTTTTTCATACTTTTGGGTGTCTTGCACGGATTAATTTGATTTCCATTATTTCTTATGGGGAAAATAGATTATCTTTCCGATAATTTTGGTTTACGATGAGCTCTCAGGAACAGATTAATATCGCGAACCGGGGGTCCACTGTATTATTAAATATAACTAACTTGTTCATCTTGATGCGAAGGTTCAGTTATACACTCAGGGTTTGATGCTCCTCTAACAATGAGACTCTCCAAAGATGGTCTCAGTGTCAAGATCTTGGCTGCAAGCTCAGCTGAGAAGTCTAAATTAATCCATCCATCTAAGCGAACCTGTATGAAAGACAATGAAATATCAACATCCATAAGGACACATCAATTGTGACCCAAAGGAGGACACACTTTTAGCATCACTCCTTTAAATGTTGTAGTTTTTTTTTTTTCAACAAGTCGGCCGTCTCCCACTGAGGCAGGGTGACCCAAAAAGAAAAAAATCCCCAAAAAGAAAATAAAATAATAACATTCAACACTTTCACCTCACTCATACATAATCAATGTCTTTGCAGAGGCACTCAGAAACAACAGTTTAGAAGTCCCTCCAAACTGTCAATATCCCAAACCCCTCCTTTAAAGTGCAAGCATTTCCAGGACTCAAGTCTGGCTAACCAGTTTCCCTAAATCCCCTCACTAAATATTACCCTGCTCACACTCCAAAAGCCTGTCAGTTCCCAAAAACCATTCATCTCCATTCACTCCTATCTAACACACACACACACACACACACACACACACACACACACACACACACACACACACCACCACACACACACACACACAAGAATTTACAGAGGGTGAGCTCCAGCTCTTGGGTCTACCCTATTAACTTTGAACTAAGTGACGATTGAGACTTTACATGTGCATTTTTGAGCTCTTTGTATGGAGTATGTTTAGCCAGAAATGTAGATGTTATTTGGATAACTTTCTAAAATGTCTCAAAGAGCGCAAATAAACATCAAAATAATGTAACAAAACACAATGCCAAGAAGATTAATTTATCAAATGTTACAGTATCCTTTGACACAAAGAAATGAGAAATGGTTAAGCTTCCCTATGATATACTAACCAAGTATGAAAATAACAGAGACAAATGTAAAAGTACACTACAGTGAGTATACTTACAACACCCTCCACAGCTTCTACATGTCTAGATCCAAACAGCAGTAAGTGGACTGGAGTCACCATTGTCATCTGCTTACAAGACACAGCTCGAGTGCGAATCTGTAAGACAAAATTCAGTGTCATTACCATCAGCTGGAGAATACACATTTAATAGGTTTGATTTAATCTGTTTTAAAACAGCCTTCATTGTTAGGGTGATCAAGTAACTAAAAAAAATGGTGGATACAAACAGAAGCAAGTGGTCAGTACACTATACTGAGAATACAGAAATTGGACCTCTATCTTTAAAACTGTAATAAGAAAGCATAGCTGGTTAGATAAGTGACTGCTTAAATTTAACCCCAGCAAATGCAAGATTATGATAATCAGGGTTTATACTCTGCTGCCAGAGTATAGACTCTGGGGGCAGAGGCTGAAGACCTCATTCAAAGAGGACCTGAGAGTAAGTACAGTGCTTACCATATTGCCAGAGGCTCACATCAACTGAATAACCTCTGCAGCCAATGCTCACCTGGCAAATCTAAGAGTGGCCTTCAGGAATCTCAATAAAAAGCCATTTCAGGTGTTTTATACAATACATGTTAAGCCCATTCTCCACAAGGAAGTGGAAAAGAATTCTTCCTTTGTAAGAGATGACTAAAATGCCAGGAACAAGGGGCTAGTAACTCCTCTTCCTGTATAAATTTCTAAATTTAAAAAGAACAACTTTCGTTTTTCTTTTTGGGTCACCCTGCCTCGGTGGGATAAGGCTGTCAGTTTATTACAAAAAATGTATGGCCCATCTTTGGGTATGCAGCACCAGTATGGAACCCACACCCAAGGAAGAATTGTATGAAATGGGAGAAAGTGCATAAGTATAAAACATGACTAGTTCCAGAGCAAAAGGGTATGAGCTACAAGGTAAGACTCAAGAAAGTGAATCTGAAGACCCTGGAGGACACAAGGACAAGGAAAGACATGATAACATCATACAAAATACTCAGAAGAATTGATAGGACAAACAGGGACAGGCTGTTTGAGAGGCCTGTCCAGCCTAACACTCTGCTTTTATGTTAATTGTCTGATTAACTCATCCGCCATTCCCCCCTCATAGCCATCACAACTTGACTGATCTGGCACTATGTAAACATCATGTAATACATTCAGAGGACACCACAAGGTCAAATTCACATATAAAAGTTTAGAAGTTAATATGGCCCAGGTGCTTGAAGCTCAGTATTTTTTCTGTTTTACTAACCTTTTCTCCAAACACAAAGTAAGGTGAGGGGAAGGTCAATTCATAATTACTACAGTTGACAGATGATTTGTGGATGAGAGCAGCCTTGGATTCTGTTGTCAGCACCTGCCACAAAGTGAAAAGTACTATATTACTAAACTATTCAAATACAAGACATCACATGACCAACTGAAAATGCTTTAAGATATAAAAAACAGTTGTACAATACAAAGGGTAACTGCTACCTACAAGCAAGTCTGGTTAATCAAGTAATCAACAGGGAAGTTTATCTTTATTCTGGGCTCTTATTGTAGAACCTTGGAAATTAGTCATAGTTATGTCATAGGTAAACAGACAAAATATTTGGTTCATGTTCATGTGTTGTCTGGGAAAACCCTTAGTGCACTGTCCATTCAACCTATAACTATAAAATTTCAAGATATCTTCGGTTTCTGAAATGAACTTTTGACTCGAGCATAAAAAAAAATTACTGCATTATAAAACAAACGTGCACTGGAAATTTCATACAGAAAATGCATACCTTACGCTTTTCTTTGTGAGCACAGACATTGGGATAGTGTCCTAAAGTTAGAAGGCCCACTATAATGTCTAGCTTGGCATCTGGACCATTAAAGTTAAATGTCTGAGGCAAAAGACACTCTTCAGGGAATCCAGCAGTGTTGACAAGTAACTCCTTCAATTGATTCTGTGAAAATGGTTTTTCCAAGATTTACCTTCAAAGTATTTTAAAACATGGAAACATTAAAAACATGGAAACATTAAAAACAAATTGACAGGAAGTTAATTATGTAATAAGTTGTTACACAAATAACCCACGCATGGAAGAAAAACTTATAACGACATTTCAGACTGAAACATTGTCATAAGTTTCTTTCTCCTATGTGTGGGTTACCTGTGTATTGCTCCAGTCACAGTATTATGCTTTTTTGTTCTTTAATAGACTGTTCTCAGTATGAGGCACAAGTCACAAGCATTATTACTTAAGCAATTCAGTGCACTAAGAATTTCAGCCTTTATCACACAATTTATACATCAGATCAAAATTGAGCTACAAGACTGCATGTGAAGGTGATGTCAGGCACTACAGAAATAATCCTGCCTAAACATAAATTACTTTATATATTTTTTTTTAACAAGTCAGCCGTCTCCCACCAAGGCAGGGTGACCCAAAAAGAAAGAAAATCCCCAAAAAGAACAAATTTTCATCATCATTCAACACTTTCACCTCACTTACACACAATCAGTTTAGAAGTTTTTTTTTTTTTTATCACACTGGCCGATTCCCACCAAGGCAGGGTGGCCCGAAAAAGAAAAACTTTCACCATCATTCACTCCATCACTGTCTTGCCAGAATGGTGCTTTACACTACAGTTTTTAAACTGCAACATTAACACCCCTCCTTCAGAGTGCAGGCACTGTACTTCCCATCTCCAGGACTCAAGTCCGGCCTGCCGGTTTCCCTGAACCCCTTCATAAATGTTACTTTGCTCACACTCCAACAGCACGTCAAGTATTAAAAACCATTCGTCTCCATTCACTCCTATCAAACACGCTCACGCATGCTGCTGGAAGTCCAAGCCCCTCGCACACAAAACCTCCTTTACCCCTCCCTCCAACCTTTCCTAGGCCGACCCCTACCCCGCTTCCTTCCACTACAGACTGATTACACTCTTGAAGTCATTCTGTTTCGCTCCATTCTCTCTACATGTCCGAACCACCTCAACAACCCTTCCTCAGCCCTCTGGACAACAGTTTTGGTAATCCCGCACCTCCTCCTAACTTCCCAAACTACGAATTCTCTGCATTATATTCACACCACACATTGCCCTCAGACATGACATCTCCACTACCTCCAGCCTTCTCCTCGCTGCAACATTCATCACCATGCTTCACACCCATATAAGAGCGTTGGTAAAACTATCTCTCATACATTCCCCTCTTTGCCTCCAAGGACAAAGTTCTTTGTCTCCACAGACTCCTAAGTGTGCACCACTCACCTTTTCCCCTCATCAATTCTATGATTCACCTCATCTTTCATAGACCCATCCGCTGACACGTCCACTCCCAAATATCTGAATACATTCACCTCCTCCATACTCTCTCCCTCCAATCTGATATCCAATCTTTCATCACCTAATCTTTCTGTTATCCTCATAACCTTATTCTTTCCTGTATTCACTTTTAATTTTCTTCTTTTGCACACCTACCAATTCATCCACCAATCTCTGCAACTTCTCTTCAGAATCTCCCAAGAGCACAGTGTCATCAGCAAAGAGCAACTGTGACAACTCCCACTTTATGTGTGATTCTTTATCTTTTAACTCCACACTCTTGCCAAGAACCCTCGCATTTACTTCTCTTACAATCCCATCTATAATATATTAACAACACGGTGACATCACACATACTTGTCAAAGGCCTACTTTTACTGGGAAATAATTTCCCTGTTTCCTACATACTCTAACTTGAGCCTCACTATCCTCATAAAAACTCTTCACTGCTTTCAGTAACCTACCTCCTACACCATACACCTGCAACATCTGCCACACTGCCCCCTATCCACCCTGTCATTACGCCTTTTCCAAATCCATAAATGCCACAAAGACCTCTTTAGCCTTATCTAAATACTGTTCACTTATAATGCTTCACTGTAAACACCTGGTCCATACACCCCCTACCTTTCCTAAAGCCTCCTTGTTCATCTGCTATCCTATTCTCAGTCTTACTCTTAATTCTTTCAATAATACTCTACCATACACTTTACCAGGTATATCAACAGACTTCTCCCCCTATAATTTTTGCACTCTCTTTTATCCCTTTGCCTTTATACAAAGGAAAATATGCATGCTCTCTGCCAATCCCTAGGTACCTACCCTCTTCCATACATTTTTAAATAATTGCACCAACCACTCAAAAACTATATCCCCACCTGCTTTTAACATTTCTATCTTTATCCCATCAATCCCGGCTGCCTTACCCCTTTCATTTTACCTACTGCCTCATGAACTTCCCCCACATCACAACTGGCTCTTCCTCACTCCTACAAGATGTTATTCCTCCTTGCCTATACACGAAATCACAGCTTCCCTATCTTCATCAACATTTAACAATTCCTCAAAATATTCCCTCCATCTTCCCAATACCTCTAACTCTCCATTTAATAACTCTCCTCTCCTATTTTTAACTGACAAATCCATTTGTTCTCTAGGCTTCC